GAATAGGAAGTTAACCTTCATTATATATGTATGACATGTATGCGTACATATGTTTTATGCAGTGTCAACAAGCAGGAAGTTACTTTCAAAAACACATCACTCATGTATCTAAGCTAACTGGCCATTTCATTAGACATAACTGATCAACTGTTCATTAACTCAAATATCCACTCAGCCAATTATATTTAAAGCAAATCAATGTCTTTAGGCATGTAGAAACGATTGAGGCAACTTGCTGAAGTTCAAATGGAGCATCACAATGAGGAAGAAAGGAGATTTAAGTGATTTTGAAGGTGGAGTGGTTGTTGGTGCCAGGTGGGCTGGTCTGAGTATTTCAGAAACTGCTGATCTGCTGGGATTTTCCACACAACCATCTCTAGAGTTTACAGAGGATGGTCTGAACAAGGGAAAATATCCAGTGAGAGGAAGTTCCCTGAGAGAAAATGCCTTGCTGATGTCAAAAGGCCAGAGGAGAATGGCCAGACTGCTTCTACAGAAGTTTAGTGCAATTGCCTTTAGCTACAACAATGGTGTGATCACTAGCCAAGCCATGCAGAAGACACACAAAGCATTGAACTTTGAAGGAGATACGCTACAGCAGCAAAAGACCACATCAGGTGGGACTCCTGTCAGCTAAGAACAGCAAACTGAGGCTACATCATATCTGGACAAAGACGGAAAAACATTGCCTGGTCTGAAGAGTTTCTATTTCTGTGTTAACACTCAGATACAAGGGTTAGAAAGTGGCATAAAAAAGATGAAAGCACAGATTTAAAAACTGCCTTTTTTCTACGGTACAGTGTGCTGCTTGTGTAATAGTGTGGGGCATATTTAACCACACCCTACCTGAATATAATTGCCAACCATGTCCACCCCTTTATGACCACAGTGTACCCAAGTGCAAAAGTAAAATGGCCGGTGAGTATATTTGTTTAAATATAAATTGTATTTGCACTAATTTGTACAAGGATGGAACAATGTAACCATTTATAGATCGAGCAACCTTATAACGCCCGTCCCTAGATTGAATTACCTTTCCAAAGAAAATTATAGGTAAGTGGTAAACACTGTTGGCTCATTTGCCTCATTGCGGCTGGTTGGCTGGGACCTCTATGTGGAGCTTACACGTGCTCTGGTTTCCTCCAGCAGTCCAACTGGAGGAAATTAGTTAAGTGGTGATTCTAAATTAGCCCTGTGTACCCTGGATAGGGGCCGGGATAGGCTCCAAACCCACCGCTATCCTGCTAAGAAAAGTGATGCTTTGGACTGTATGTATGCATTAACTAAATAAAGGGTTTAAAGGAGATAAACATCCTTCAAACCTGTATTATCCTAAAGACTGTCCTTCTGCTTATAATCAACGAAATCTAAAACCTCAACAGGAAAGTTCAGTGTAGATGAGTCCACTTTTTTATAACATGAGCTATACAAGGAAAAAAATAATAGCTGATCTAAGGTCGCATGAGACAACTGCATTCAGGACTTGAGTTATATCTGCTTATACAAATAGTTGGAGGTTGCAGGTTGGCGCTTAACGTCAACCCGATATTTTTGAGCGTACAGCGCCCTCTGGTGTTCAGAAGATTTAGCTACAACATAACACCAGTGAAGGTGACTTAACGTAGAGGGAAAAGTTTGTTAGACGGGAGAGAATAGATATAAGAATATTTCAGGACAGGGTTTGTGCAGATTTGATTTTAAAGAACTCGGTTTCTCTTTTTTGTATTATATTCCAAAAATCATTCCTGGGTCGTAAACAGTTCAAAACTGTTGGGGAGACAGTTTATTTATCCCGGATCATGAAAGACTCCTGAAATAAGGAAGTGGACTCACCTTAGATCAGCACGCCAGAGGTGAAGGAGTGGCTACCTGCCCCTTCTGCTCGACTAACAGTGCGAGAGGCGAACTGACGTGCCCAGGGCTCTCCGGGAGGAATTGTACTTTCCATAAAGCTTTTATTCTCAGGGAAGTTCAATCAGAATCAGGTAAGACTCAAAGATTAACTCGTGTTTATGTTTCTGTGAGCACAGGGGTTTCCAGATACTGCTGAACAAACCATTATGATTAATCCGAGTGTTTGCCATAGGCCCAAATGTACTGTACAAGTTAATAAAAGACTGATTGACCAACATTTATACGATCTCACAAGCATGCAAATCCAGAATTTGTTTTATTCGTTTTCATTCTTTAAACTATCCACAAACGTGAGTTTTACAATATTTTCTTTGACTGATAGGAAAGAGAAAAAAATGTGAGGCTTGTGCAAGTGTGTTTTCAGGATAAGCAGCTGAGTGTCACGGCAGATTGTGGAGTCCTAGCTGCTGTTTTTTCACATAGAAAGAAAACTTTGTTCATTATCAAAGCATGTCTGTGCAGGTGAGGAGGCAGCCCGCCGCATTCCAGTGCCTGGGGTCATGACGTTGCAATATGCAGACCCTCAGCACAAATGTGTTTAGAGAGTAAGCCTGCCTGAGTGCCTGCCTGCGCTGTGTTTCCACCAGGAACAGAGGTTACATAATAACTGCTGTAGTTTTATCATCTCTACAGGAGAGGAATTAACTTTTTTTTTTACTGTCAGATATTAAGAGTAAGATTTGTTTCTAATATATATATACACACACATAGTAAAAAAGGTAGGTAAGATAGGTAAGATAATGACCGGTGAGAGTTTTCCAATACCAATTCCCAGAAACACCATGTGATGAGACTTGTCCAAGGAATGGATGTTACTGTCAAGTGTGCATGTCATGACAGATTTTGGGAAACACAGTGTCTTCCATATACACAGCTGTCTGGCTGCTGCTGCTGCTTTAGAAAGAAACCCGAGAGGCTGTCAGAGGATGTGCAAAATAGAAAGCCTAACTAATATCAATACTAGATTTTTTAAATTTTATAACTTTTCACTTAGGCCCAAATAAATGTCAGTAAAAGTGAAGGATTCAGTCATTTGACTGAAAAACAAAATAACCCTATCGGAGAGTTGCAGAAAATTCAGGAGCGGGCAAATCAACAGCCTGGTACATTCTTAAAAAACAATGAATGCACTGGCCACCTCAGCAACACCAAAAGGCCTGCAAGTCCACAGAAGATGACTAATGTGTGTGATGACAGGATTATTTCCATGGTTAAGACAAACAACTTCACAACATCTAAAGAAGACAAGAACACACTCAGGGAGATAGGTGTATCATTGTCAGTATCTACCATGGAGGCGTCTGCATGAATGTAAATATAGAGAGTTTGCAACAAGGTGCAAACCGACAAGTTATTCAAGGCAGTGAAATGGGATATTCTGCAACGGACAAGTCAGTCAATTGAGCATGCTTTTCATTTATTAAAAGAAAAGATGACAAGCATCTCTCAGCAGTAATTTTAAACATATGGTCATATCTTTAAATACATGTTTGCTTTAATGCAGGAGTCATTTAGATGGATGCTGAATAGGAAAGTTTACAGCTAAAAGGAGAGGTTGAATGTAGTGAACAAACTTTAAATTACTGCAAATTATACACTTGAAAACTTGAACTTTGTTCAAGAAAGGCAGTGACTAAACTCAAGATCGTGAAATAAAAGCATCAAATATTTCATATGAGGATTGGTATCTGGGTGCTGCTCCCTGAGCCTGGTTCTGCTGAACGGTTCTTCCTGTTAAAAGGGAGTTTTTCCTCCCCACTGTCACTAACTGCTCGCTCAGAGAGGTGTTTTTGATTGCTGTTTTTCCCCCCTGTTTTTTTCAGGGTCTTTACTTTGCACTATAAAGTGCCTTGAGTTAACTGTCCCTGTGATTGGGGCAAAATAAATAACACTGAACCGAACAGCAACTACTGATATAATACTTACTAATGAACAATTAATAAAGGACTAAAAACCTTTTTTTTTTTTTTTTTTTTTTTGTGTCCCGTTTGGATCTTTGGCCATCAGAATTGTTGTCTTAAGGCCAAGAAAGATGCCAAGCGGATTTATTTTACCAAGTGGATCATCATGGCCTTGCCATATTGGTCCATTTGATTGACCTTTATTATAATTATGAATTTATTTTATTTTCAGTTGCTACAAACGGGACAGACATGACTGGGGGATAGGACAGGGAGAAAGAATGAAAGAAAGAGAGGGAGAGAAAGAAAACCAAAGGGGAGAAGAGACGGTGAGAAGGGGGGAAAGAAAGAAAAAAACAAACAAACAAAAAAAACAAAACACCTGGGTCACCTGTATGGAGAGAGAGAAAAAAAACAGAAGAGAAAGCAAACAACAAAGAGCAACATAATAAAAAAAACGGCACCATCACAATAAACTAGCTAGCAGTAGATATCAGTAGATACTAAATAATAAACGATATTGTGCAGCACGCAAGGACTAAAAACCTACCATTATTTTTTCACAATTATATAAAACAGATCACTTCACAAGCTTGAACAAAAATGTTTAATGCTTAAAACAATGAAGAGAGACTGTTTTTATTTCAAGCAACTAACTGATTAATGAACTTGGAGTTGCAGCTTAAGTGTTACTGGTCTCACTCTGATGGGAGCTTTCCAAATAGAGTAAAGTTTTATATGCAAGCTTAAACTTAGCAAAATGCCAGGTCATGGAAAAAAGTAAGTTTTCACATAATAAATAAAGGATGAAAAATAATCAAAAGAACCTTACAGTGTGTTAGACATTCCCCAGCTGCGTGTTGGTGGCCATTATTTCTCTGAGACCTACTGCATTGCAGAATCAGTTTAGCGTTTCTGTACACCCTCCCCTGTCCTCTAAGTGCAGCCTTGTTTAAAGTTTCTGCCTTGCCACTCATTTTCTTGTGGAATTTCCTTCTCATTTATCAGCGTCCATACGCCCTCCTCAGTTGATGCTGTTTTCATTAGATCCCAGCAGAATAATAGCGGAGACATACAGCAGTAACTCCTCTAGATAATTGTCTGCGGTAATGAATATTTCCACTTATTGTCCCGCTGAGGCCTCTGTTGTGGATGAGTGTTGAAAGAGTTAGTTCACTCCACCTCGCTCTCAGTTTGTGTTTAAAAAAAAAAACTCCCTGGAGAGAACAGTCGTTACCATAACAACTCAAGTGCCAGCATGACAGTGTGTGAGTGGCAACAACGCGTGTGCCTGGCAAGTGTCACTTTTGTTCACTTATGAACCAAAAAACTAAAAAAAAACCAGTGTTTTTACAGACAATCAGAAGAAAAGACTTCATGGTTGTCTGTGATTTTGTGATTTTACTTGGGGATTTTTAAAAAAGTGTGTGTTTGTGTGTGTGTGTTGACTTTTTTTGAGAGCTCATTCTGCCTGACATTACTGTCCTTCTCTAGAATTGGATGGCTCTTTTCCTATAATCAAGAGAGCTCACTGCCATTAAAACACAGGACCTTACTTTGAGGTATCTGAACGTTATTTCTAAATTTATTTATTCATCATTGATATATTAATCTAATCTATCTGATTGTAAAATGAGCAAAGAAAGGTAACAAATCTAACCTGCCATTTTGTGGGAAATTATTTTTGTTAATGATTGAATTGAGACTTGTTTTCTTCATTACTTTCATCACAATAATTCAAAAACCTAAAAAAAGCATAGTTTTTTTTACCATCAGTCTGAAAGTCAGAAGGAAGTAATCTGCAGTTACGTAAGAGGAACTGAAATCATTAAAAAGCGATATCTATCTGAGTGACACAAGTGCTCAGTTGACTATATTTGTGTGTTGTCAGGTTTTTGTTTCTTTTTATTAATTGTGACTCACCGCCAACAAACAAAAGGTTTTTGTTAACGCTCGCCTCTTTCCAGAAATAGTTTGCTTGGCTTTTAAAGCCAGTCTTTATACTTGGTAAGAAGCCCAGTTTAAACAGGGACCTGTCCATGTCTGTGCCTCGTTGTTCCTGATTTGTGTGTTGAAGTGTTAAAAACTAAATCTAGTCTCACACGCTTGCCCAACAGCGTGTTTAAGACCTTACGACAACCAGTGGTCTTGTTTCGATGATTTTTTTTTCTGTCTTGTTGTTGCTGTTGTTGTGGTTGTTGTTGACCCCATGACGTCAAACCCTTCATGGTATACTGTGTAATAAGCCTTATGCAAATATTTTGTCACAAAGGATTTTGCAATGGTGTTTGGCCATTTGTAGCAGTATGTAAGGTTTAGGTTTACTGACAGCAATCAGTGGAATCCACATGTTCAGTCCATGGAGGCTTTTTCTTGGAAGTAATTTTAAACTTCACTCTGTCTCCTGGAACCCCTCTTTCAGGCTGCCCACACCCAGGTGATGGTGTAACATGCCGCCTTTGCTTCACACTCATCTTCTCTTTTTCTTTTCCACACATACACACGCACACACACGCACATACACACTTACACACAAACACACCCACTCAGCCCTGCTGGGGAATTCATGGCCTCAGGCTAACAAACACAGTCGAAAAGCAGCAGAAAGCCCTGAAAGAATTAACGCTGCTCGGCTCCCTCACGGACTAACAGCGTGGAGTTTCATTTGTACGGAAACACCTCATGACAGACAGAAGACACTTTTCCGATCGACAGTATTGTGAGGTACGCATGTTGCAGCTAGTTTCTTTTGCTCTGTTTGCTGAGCCTTCAGTTTCTGATTGGTCAGGCAGAATAAGACGGTAAGAGCTTCTGTGCATTTATTTATTTAGTTTTTGTTCACACGGTAATTCCTGCCTTTATCTGTGTCACGTAACCTGTTTGGTCACAGGGTGTACAGCACCCTTGCTTTTCAGAACAGTGAGCAAATTATCGTCTAATTCCAAAAGTGTTTTTATAGCTGTTATTTTATCACAGCCATAAGAACTGTTAAAATCTCAGATCACCAAATGGTCAGTGCAGAATCTCCTGTTGCTCGAATGCATTTAAAAATATTCCTATCTGCTCTTGGAGGATAGATAAATATTCCTACATGAAAAAGAAAGGATTATTTTTTTTATCATTGCATGTGGTTTTAACAAACCATAATTTTAATTCAGGACAGCACAGCGGTGCAGTGTTTGGGACTGATGCCTCACACCAAGAAGGTCTCAGATTTGAATCCGCCGACCGGCTGGTACTTTTCTGTGTGCAGTTTACCTGTTCCTCGTGCTCTCTCAAGGTACACTGTGGATTTCTTCCAGTCCCAAAATGCTTGTTAGGTCATTTGGCGATCCTAGATTAGGGGGGAATATGAGCTGGTTGTCTGTCTTGGTGTGTTAGTCATGTGACAGCTGAAAAAAGCTGCAGTGGCTTCAAAACCATTAAAATTGGTTTAAGAAAAAAACACTAAAAATGAATTAAGATTTAGTTAAATGTTATGTATATAGTCTATGCCAATCTCGTGAGCAAATCATAGTATGAGACTTAAAGCCCTTACTAGATTTAAACAAACATATATAAAACATTAACAATTATTATAAAGGAGGGGTCTTTATTGCTTTTTAGTATTTTGGATTTAGAATGACAGGTCTGTATGCTCAACGTAATGCTGAACCAGGAGGCAGTTAGCATATCTTATCAGTTTTGGTGGTAGGCAGATTTTGACACCTTCAGGCTTAGATAGTTATTCCAGTCATTGTACCAAACAGAGCATCATTGGTGCTGGATTTTTGGGTCTGAATCTGACACCTTTGAGTCTGTGCCACCATCTATTCAGCTGAGATGTGTGCTATGCTATATGTGCTGCAGAAAATGCACATTATAGAGTCTGGCCTGCTGTGTCAGACAACTGCAATATTTCCAAATTACTACAAGTATTTGTGATGTAAAAGGTTTTTGCATCTGAAATCAAAAGACAACTTATACGGCAAAACTGATAGTTTTGTGACAGGCCAATATATAGCTCTAAAGCTAAGCTAACTGCCTGCTAGCTATAGCATACTGGACATAAATGAGAAGAAACAGAATTCCTAGAATTTCAAATGACTAAGTTATCCTTTAATAAAACTCAAAGAAGCCAATTTCTTATACTTAAAAACGACTCAACAGTCGCTCCATTAATGAAGTACTATGTCAGACCTCCTTTTGCCTTCAGAATTGCCTTAATTCTTCATGGTATAGATTCAGCAATATTCTGGAAATGTTCTTCAGAGATTTTGGTCCATGTTGACAGAATAGCATCACACAGCAGCTACATGCAAATCATTAGATCAGATAATATTTTTCCAATCTTCTGTTGTCCAGTTTTGGTGAGCCTGTGCAAGTTGTAGTCTCAGTGTCCTTATCAGGAGTTTTAATGTTCAATGTTTTGTTGTTTTATTATTATTATTTTGTTTAAAGAGTATACCAATGTATGCATACCAAGCTTATGCATAACCTTGGTATTCATACCAACAGTTGTGTTAAAAACATTGCTACATTCCCCCGGTGAGCTAGTAGTCTCTGCAGTTGGACCGCAAATGGCATTTAACACCAAATTAATAGAAAGTTTAACTACAAAGTTTATGATGACCATAAACACGAGATTAAAAATGTATGTTTGAACAAAGCAACATGAATTATGTTATTCTTTTGCCTGACAGATTTTCTGTGTAGGTTCTCAGTGATCCAGGTCATGGTTAGCCTAAGGACCTTGGAAAGAAAGCAACTGGACCTCTAACTTTCGTGACAGTGTTTCACCTGTCTTACTTTGATATACTCTTTGAACTCTTATCCAAAAGACGGCTCATTCAGTTCTGAAACCAAATGGTCAGGAGTTCCAGGTATTTAAACCCTTAAGAGGGTCCAAGCTCCATAAGAGGGTTGTTGACCCACTATGAATCATGTGCGTCATCACATGAGGCAATGTATGAAAAAACATGTGGGTTATTACCACCAGAGGTTTCACATGAAATCGCTCTGAGACCTCGCCTTACTCTATCACGCGACCTATTGAGGTCACTTGACACAAGATGTGAGTTGGGGTTTTAAGCTTCTGGGAAATCATTTTAAAACTGCATTGTAGGTGGCTGAGAGGTGTCGTAAGCAACCTCCTCTTTTCAGTCATGGTCGTTCATGGTGGGTTGTGGTGTGTTCCCCACAAGGGGAGCTAGGATGTTGGCAAGGAGCTTGGAAATGTTGTAGGTGGTTGAGTTTATACTGCTAACTAACTTTATACTTCTAAAAATGTCCTCTTAAGGGACTCTCCACTATTTTGGTTTTAGAACTTCCACAGCATGTCTTTTATCCTGTCTTCCTTCTCTCACCCCAACCGGTCGCACCAGATGGCCACTCCTCCCTGAGCCTGGTTCTTCTGGAGGTTTCTTCCTGTTAAAAGGGAGTTTTTCCTTCCCACTGTCGCCAAAGTGCTTGCTCATAGGGGGTCATATGATTGTTGGATTTTTCTCTGTATGTGTCTACTTTAGAATATAAAGTGCATTGAGGCGACTGTTGTTGTGATTTGGTGCTGTATAAATGGAATTGAATTGAATTCAATTGAATTGAACTGAGGCAGCCTCTTGGATGAAAGGTCAAATGTCTCCACAAAGTCGAAGAAATCCAGTCACTTGGATGAACTGGTAGTTAACAGGTGGCAAAAGGAATGCTGTTAATAGAGAAACAGCGTTTAGTAGCAAAATATTATGGAGATGAAAATGCAAAGAATTCAATATTTCATTGTACATTTTTGTTGCATGTTTGTGAATGGCTGCTCTCAAAACGGTTTGAGAGCAGCCATTAGTTTTACTCCAAAACCTTGCAGGTCCTCACTTGAAATCTGGTTGAGAAAGAATGTAATCTGGATATCTCGGAAAAAATGATATGAATCATAGCAGCCACATGGCAAAAGATCACAGCTTCAAAGTGAAGCATCGCACGACTGTAGTAGTATAATGAAGCAACTCACAGAACAGTGTGTCCTTTTCTTTTGAAGAAATTATTATCACTCAGTTCTTCCAGTTAAACCTTTGTTTACCCAGATGTCCCATCTAAAAAAAAAAAAGCACCATGCATATAAAGTATCGTTTTTCTTTTCTCTGTTTAAAGGATGATTTTGATGTGATGATGCCAACCCAGCTTTGACAATGTATGAGGTGATGTCCGGTGACACCCTGTCCTGGAAGGTGCCCAGTCCACGACAAAATGAAACAGAGGCTGGCCCTGAAGAACAATTCTCTGGGGATGGTGGACCTGTCAAAATCCTTAAAGTGTGCTTCAGCACCAACAACAACCTGGGCAAGAATTTCAAGCTGGTGAAATGTGACAACTCCTGGCAAATTAGGGTGAGAATGTAGCCCAGAAAATATGGGGAAGAGAATTTCATTGTCAAAAAAGACGAAAAGGGAAGTGCCAAATCGTGTTTCCGCCACTTAATGTTATAATTTTATCGCCATTACATATTTAAACGAGTTTAAACCAGAAATTTCAATAAACTGAAGGATGACCAAAAATCTTTTCAAAAAGTATTTTTTAAACTTCTTTTTTTCTCCTTCAGGCTATCATTCGTTCGATTCTGGTCAGCGGGCGTTTAGGGCCAAACGTTCAACACGCAGGATGCTATGGCCTCATGCTAAAGCACCTGAAGTCAGAAGAACTTCACTGGCTCCATCCAGACCTGACTGTCGGAGAGGTGGAGAAGCGCTATGAGAGCAATCATCTGGAAGCTGAGTGGAGGTACTGATGGACTATTAGGATATTAATCTTGTAATTAACATATGTACTTTTTGTAAGCTTTATTGTATTGAGTTTTATTTGTAAGCTGATATCTATATTTTCCTTTCGAGCACAGATATGACCTTCGTATCAGATACATTCCTGTGAATTTTGTGGAAAAATTCAAAGATGACAGATCGACCTTTTTGTATTTTTACCAACAGGTAACTGTATTTGTTATCCTGTCTTAAAAGCTTCCTGCCTCTATTGTACTTGTTGTTGTTTAACTGATATCCTGTGCATCATTTTAGCAAATCTCGTGTAGAGTGTCTTACTTTAGTTGCTTAAGCCTAGCCAAATTTGCTGCTGCCTTTGCAAGTCGCTTTGCAACCCAACTCTACTAAAGAAGCCTGTTGTCATTGATGACAGATTGGGTTGGTGCTGCAAAGTCAAGTAAAAATCACTCTAGGTGGAAATGGTTTTCTTTTGATTTAAAGAGTCCTGACTTACTTTGTTTGAAGTTCTATTTAGAATTGTTTTGTTGGTATTCGCATAAAACTCAAATTTTTGACATGTTATTATAGGTGCGTAGTGATTACATGCAGTATCATGCCAGTAAAGTCAGTGACGGGATGGCATTGCAGCTTGGTTGTTTGGAGATCAGGTGAGCCACTGCATTCCTTACCTCGCTGTGAGTGTGAGGTGACTGAACTGGGTGTATTTACTGTACACTTTCCAATTGTCTCGCTCTTCCAGGCTCTTTCATAACTTAACCCGTGTTGCTGTGCTTTGTATTTAATAGAATGATCAAAAGCTATAGAATACTTAAACTGCTATTTTTATTAATCATTTTGTATCTTTATTCTCACTCTGTTTTCACAGGCGGTTCTACAAAGACATGAATGCAAAAGGTCTTGAAAAGAAATCTAACTTTGAGCTGCTAGAGTAAGTTTTTACTTTCTGTACACTACAAAGAGTTATTGCTCTAATATTACATTAAGGGCTTTTAAATCCAGTTTAACTGGTGTTGTTTAATTACGTTACCCTAAAAGTGACACTTCATGGGTTGTGAACCCTCAGCTTCAAAACATGATTAAAAATGCCTTGAAATAAACTAAAAGACCATTTTTTAAATATTAAATCATAATCAGAATACCTCATTAATCCCTAGGGAAATTATGTAATACTAAGCAAAAGACAAAGAAAAAACGTCACAGCATAAAGGAAAATCAGGACCAATTCAAACAGGCTGCATACCAGTTGATGCAAGCTCAATATAAAATTTAAATGACTTGATGATGTTTTAAAAAGCCGATACATTATTATATATTATATTTATTTATTTCTTTGAGACACCCTAAATATGTGTAGCTATTTATTGTTCCTTACCAAAAAGCTTTAACTGAAATTTTTATTTATATTTATTGGCCATTATAAATGCCAGTACCAACAGTTTGACAAACAGCTAACATCAGCAATAGATTGCCTTTCAAGCTCTAGAGTATGTTTTTAATTCTGAATATTCTTCTAAGGTTTTTTGTTTGTTTTACCAATTTAGAAAAGAAGTTGGCCTGGACCTTTTCTTTCCACAGCAACTGATTAACAGCATGAAGGTAAATTTCTCTAAACGTGACTTAGTGTGTCCTACCTAAACAGGCACCCACAATTTATGAGACTTCCTTTGCAAATTAATATTGAGTCACTATTGTGCAAAAGTGCAAGTTTTACCATTTTCAAATCTCTGTGGCTGTGATCCAGCCTAGGCCCCTGCGGAAGATGATTCAGCAAACATTTCAGCAATTTGCAACACTCAAGGAGGATGACTGCATGATCAAGTTTTTTGAGACGCTTAAGGATTTCGTCAGCTACGATGAAGAAGCCTTCCCCTGTGAACTAGTGGTGAGCAGGAACATGATGTTCATCTGGAGCAATGAATCATGTCTTATTCATAAATAACAAAATAGACCTCATTAAGCTTGTCCAGAACTCCAAGATCTGTAGATTTACTGTTTGAGGTATTAATGTTTCAAATGTTTTTATTTGTGAATAGCAAGGCTGGAGTCTGTCTGTGGAGCTGGTCGTCGGTGGGAGAGGAATTCGCCAACGCACACAGAAGGATTCAGCTGTAAGCGTGATTAAGATTTTGTTAATCTTGCACACAGGTTTAACTTCATAATTTAATCATTGCATTCATTCCTTTTGTGTGGCAGGCTGTGTTTTTAGCTGACTTCAAACAAATTAAGAAAGTACAATGCATATCGCAGAACGATGGCAAGGCTCTCCTAAATCTTGACATAGAGGGCGCGAAGCAAGTAAGTGTAATATTCCTCCCTATAGTTTGAAATATTAGGGAATGTCACTCAATAGCTTCCTTTGTTAGGTACACCTCGTTGGTATTTGATTGGACTGTCTTTTCTCTTCAGCACTCCCTCGAGTCTTTGTGGCACAGATTTGGGAAGGTGCTGGAAACATTGCTCAGAGATTTTGATCCATATTAACATCACAAAGTTAATGCAGATTTGTCGGGTGCACATTCATGATGTGAATCTCGCTTTTCACCGCTCTAGTGGATTAAGATCTGAGGCCATTTAGTACAGTGAACTCATTGCTATGTTTAAGAAAGCAGTGAGCTTTGTGACATGTTGTGTTTCATCAGAAGATGGGTACACTGTGGTCAGAAAGGCATGGGCATGGTTAGCAAATGTGTTGGGTGTTGAAACTATGTTCAGCTGGTGCTAGGTCAACATGTACCAAGAAAAGTTTCCCCCACACAATTACAGCATCACCAGCAGCATGAACAAGGCAGGATACATTTATGCTTTTATGTGTTTTAGACCGAATTCTGACACCCACTAAGCAAATGTTGCAGCAACATTAAAGATACATTAAACAAGCATTTTTTCCTATCTTATGTTGTCCAGTTTTGGTGATCTTGTGTGAATTGTAGCCTCAGCACATAGTGTGGTCTCCTGCTGTTGTAGCCCATCTGCTTTAAGGTTCGATGTCTTGTGCATTCAACACCTACTTGTGCCGTTCTATCAACTCGAACTCTGGTGATTTCCTTCTGACTTCTAGCGTCAACCAGGCATTTTCGTCCAAAGAACTGCTGCTCATTGGATATTTTCTCTGTTTGGACCACTCTCTGTAAAGTTCAGTGTGTGAAATACTCAGACCAGCACGCTGAGCACCAACAGCCATGCCACATTCACAGTCACTTAACTCACATTTCTTACCTAGCTCACCTTATTTTAATGTTTGAGCTTTTGCTGGTCTACATGACTAAATGCATTGCTGCCATGTGGTTAGCTGATGAGTTATTGGTATTTTCTAAACTGGCCATTCAGTCTATGTATTTTTGTGACATGCCATTGTGTCCTCATTGATAGCGTCTGACCATCAATGTGGCCACGGTCGCTACTGCTGAGAACATGATTGATCTTATTGACGGGTACTGCCGCTTGGAAAACAACACAGATGAAAGTGTTATCCACCGACCAAATAGAGGTGTGTAAGATTTATCTATTAAATAAAGGGCAACATATTGTTTTTAAAGATTGACCATTGTCTTAAAAGCTGTTTGAAATATATTCTTAAAAGTCAATCTGGATTCTCATTACTACTTCCTATCCTAGATGCCAATGCAAGAACCTCCCTACCTGAAATTCCTACTGGGTAAGTGGCTGTTTTACTGACTTATGCAGTCAGTGCTCTAATTTGAACATTTCTGACTTTGGCTTTCCCCCATTTTGTCTTTTCCTTGGAGCAGCAGAGAGACGAGCTCGCTCAGACACAGTATGGGTGAGCTCAGAATTTTAACAACCTATGCTGTACACTTTTTAATGGTTAAAAACCAAATTCCTTTTAATAGTGACGTTATTATGAAGACAATAAAAATGAGATCTTTTGCATTTTTAGGTTCAGATATCTACTGTGAGATTGATGAAAGGCCAAAATCAGGTTCGGAAAAGTCTTTATTCAATTCTGTTGCAGGATCATACCTGTGAAAACTCACTTTTTAATGTTCACTGTTACTGTTGCTCTGCAGTTGTGAAATACGGCATTGACCGAAATGACATTGTTCTCGGCCGAATCCTCGGCGAGGGTTTTTTTGGGGAAGTCTACGACGGAGTATACAAAAAAGCTGTAAGTTTAAAGGGTTTAAGCGTGTTACAGAGCATCTATAAAATACATGATTGCATTAGAAATAAATGGCAGCACGCAAAGTGAATGTGCAGTAACATGTGTTTAATTGGACAGAATGGTGAAAGAGTTAATGTGGCAGTGAAAACCTGCAAAGACTGTTCACCTGACGTGATGGAAAAATTCATGAGTGAAGCAGGTACGCAGAGAAAAAGATTTCTAAAACAGCTGCTACGTTCACCACAACTGTGCCAGCAGTAACTGACAGAGTTGTCCTGATAAGTTGTGATGTTTGTGTTTGTCAGTAATCATGAAGAACCTCGACCATCCCCACATCGTCAGACTGATTGGAATCATAGAGGAGAATCCCGTGTGGATTGTCATGGAGCTTTATCAGTATGGGGAGGTTAGTCCTCATTTCCTGATTGGTTATAGAAAATATGCATTTAATATATGTTCTTTTTTCTTTTTAAACTAGTGTAGCTTCTGGATGCCACAGCAGATGTCGCACATGTGAATTCCTGACTGATTAAACGCATTATTGACTTTCTTGCAGCTGGGACACTACCTGGTTCAAAACAAAGAAAAGCTGACAAATACAACCTTAGTGCTGTTCAGCCTGCAGATCTGCAAAGCTCTCGTCTACCTCGGAGGGGTTAACATGGTACACAGGTAAATTTTTTTCTCTTCTTAATTAAAAAATGAATGCTTTTATTCAACAGAAAGGTTACAGTGTTATAAGCTCTGCCTCCTTTGAGCATATATGATCATGGTCTGACATAAAAGTAGCACCAGCTTAGGCGGGTATTTCAGATATCCTTGTCCCCAGCATCACGTTTCAGTTCCTCCTGGGGAATCCCGAGGAGTTTCCAGTCCAGGAGGGATTATATATCTCGACTCTCGACAGTCGAGATATATAATCCCTCCTGTGGCTTCTGGGTCTACTCGAGGGTCTGCTTCTAAAATGTAATCCACACTTTCAGCTTAAGAATTACAGCCATTTTTACACATAGTCCTCCATTTCCAGAGGTTCAAGTAGTGACAAGCAGTTTGATGGCCAGGTGAGGCATGCTTCTTTGTTAATTCATGGCAAACAAAGCGGACATAATATCTCAAGTTGATTCAAAGAGTTGGATTTGTATTGTTGGGTTTTCTCCCTCAAGGCATCCTACTCAGTTGCCTTTTGATTGAAAGTGGGCGCCACGCAGGCAACACAGTTGGTCTGCAACTATTTGCAATCGGTCCACCAGCTAAAAAATTGAATGCAGCCTTTTTTCCTAGTTGCAAGGAGAGGAGCCTACCGTCGTATTTTAACTCTAGTGTGACTGAGTGATGAAGTCGTCACATTTTGGAAAAACGTTTTATTTAATCTTAAAACATTGAAATGAGGAAAGTTGTACTGAAACAGCAGAACACCATGTTCCATTGAGTTGTGTCTGCAGACTGTTTGAGTGCACAATTTCAGGTTTTAACATGCATTATTTACATTTCCCCTGAATCTTGCCTACATTATCCACCTGTACCAACATAAACATCAACCTTTCCTCCAATCCTGTCCGCTCACAGAGACATAGCAGTTCGGAATATATTAGTTGCCAGTCCGGACTGTGTGAAGCTTGGAGACTTTGGTCTATCGAGGTACATAGAGGATGAAGAATACTACAAAGGTAAAAGAGACACTCATGAACTAACACAAATGTTTCATGCAATAAACATAAAATATCAGCTCGATTTATAAAATACTTTAACTGTAAACGCTTCTGTTATGTTTTTCCTACATTTTGATCTTGTTCACATTATTGTTTTAAGTCATGTACGTAATAATTTTGATCACAATTTTAGATTAAAGGATCTACACAGTTAAACCACAGTCTGTTATGTCTCCTTGTCAATAGAAAAATAAAAGCATATTTAAAACAAATACACAAATTAATCAACTTATTTGGAAAAATCTTTAAAAACCATGGCTTTGACTATCTTGACTATAATGCAGTGTGCTAATTTCTTTGCAGCATCTGTGACCCGATTACCAATCAAGTGGATGGCCCCAGAATCCATTAATTTCAGGCGTTTTACCTCAGCTAGTGATGTGTGGATGTTTGGTGAGCTTGTTACGCATTTACCTTCAACAGCACAGTGACATTTTGAGGGTTTGGTGCACAAGAGACTAAGAAACACTCACACATAGAAAAAGGTCAGGTTACTGGTTAATAATCAACCGAAACAAGGGCTATACAGTTTTATGATGAGGCAGGGATTATTTAAGCTGATATGGCTCTACATTACAGATAACGTGCACACAAACACACATAACAGTGGACTGTTATTCTTCTTTTCTTTGTTTTGCTTTTTTAGCTCAAACACTGATGGTTTACATGGGGGAATTTTAAGCCTCAGAAGGCTCAATATCCCAACCTAACAGCCTTTCATGTGTATTTACTCCTAGTGCTTTTACAAAAGTACTGAAACACTGGCATCCTCTGACCTTTGAGGCCTAAGAGAGTGAGGAATTACCTTTATGATGCCTGACTATTTGATATCCTCCCCTAAGGTAAATCAGTTTTTCTAAAACATAAACAAACACAAGGCCCAGGCCTTGTGACCCTGAATAAGCCTGACAAAGACTCCAATCTGGCCCACTGGACGACTTTGGAAAATGTGAAGCAGGGCATAAATTTTAGCCTTTTCCTTCCTACTGTTAAAGACCATGGCCATTCACACTAAACCAATGCAAATAAGTAATAGAGTTCCTGCTTTTTCATTATATGCTATAAAAGTTATGACTTTTACAGCTCATCCCCGGAAAAAAAAAAGATATATCCTCTTAATTGATTTTAAAAAAGTTACGTTTTCCAATTCCAGGTCAGTCTGTGCAGTTTTCTGTAATTTTCACATTTATCTCTTACAATTTAAGCCCAAAGCAGCCATATAATGACTAAAAACTGATAGGTGCTGTTGAAATTTCACTTCTTTTTCATGATTAAATATATTAGAGATTAAATGTGTAGTTAAATATCTTTACAATGACAGAAAAGGGAGTTTCTCTCATCCGGCCCACTTAAGATCAAACTGGGCTGTATGTGGCCAGCAATGTAAAATGAATTTGTTCTGCACTGTGTGTTTTCATGCACTGAATTCAACCATACTTATGATTTCCATTATGAATTTTTAAGCATGAACTAAACACTATTATTGACCCAGATCTGTAATATTTTCTCACAAAATACATCTTATTTAGTTCATGTATTTCTTTTTGCAACAGTGACTGATACAACTGTGGACATAAAGTGGACTGAAGGCTGATATAGCTAAAATAAAGCTATAGGATATGCATTAAAAACATGAGATATATTACCATACCATAATTTATTTATATATCACTTTATTATAGCACTATATTAGGTAGATTCTGACCCAACAGCTGCTTCCTGTCGGAGAGCCATGGATTGTTTTTAAGTACAAGAATGAAATATTCTATTTTACACAGCTTATTGTAAAATAAAGCAAAATAAAGCTTTTTGAGCTTCATCTGGTGGAAAAATAACTTTTTTGAAAACTGCAATTAACGAAAATAATCAAAAACATGAATAATGAGTAGTTATAATTATTACTAACTCCATTACCAAGCACCACAATGACTGCTTCAGGTGGCATTTGTTTGTCTTTGTTTGCTATTGTTAATGCGTTGAATTTCATCCTTATTGCCTGATATTTTCTATTTGTAGTCTATTACACAATCTGAAAATGAATAATGAACTGGAGGGTGAACATTCCCAAGCTCTTTTTTGTTTCTGTGTTGTTTTCTAGCTGTGTGTATGTGGGAGATAATGAGTGGTGGACAGCAGCCGTTTTTCTGGCTTGAGAACAGAGCTGTGATCAACCAGCTGGAGCAAGGCATCAGACTACCCAAACCAGATAACTGCCCTCCTGCCCTCTACTCACTCATGACCCGCTGCTGGTCCTACGACCCCAGTGAAAGACCCAGTTTCACTGAGTTGGTTATGAAGATCAGGTAATTCTTTATGCATTATTAAAAGAAGTGCTTATGAAGAATACAAATGGATTGAGATCCTTTAATTAAGGCTTGGTCAGTGGGCCCAATCTTTTTCAGTTGAGGTTTGTGATTATCTGCTTAAGCAGATATTGGCCTCATAGTGCTATGTTAAAAAAAAAGGTTTATTTTACTCATTTCTAGTTTCATATTTCTATTCTTGACTCCACTAGAGAAGTTTTTTTTTAAAATCTATCTTCTTGTAGCCCGTCACTTTAGCCATTGACTGAAACAATGATTGGCTTCTGATTGGCTACAAGGGATTACATGATGATGACATCATGATTAATATGAGAATATATCCTGTCTATATACATGTGATGGAAAATAAGGAAAACCATCAACCCTTTACTGTGTAGTTAGTGTGACTGTGACTTATTCCTCATGAAGAACACAAGACAAAACAGAACATCTTCAACCGGTCTTTAACTCGCTAATGAGGAAAGTCAGAACCAGGCTATGGACCAGGCTACCTATCTCTAGCCCAAGTCCTTCAAAGAGTAGCTTCCCTCGCAGCTATTTATTCCCATGATAGTTACAGTTTACACAATACAACACAACACAAGCACCTCCCACCGTAAAACCCCCCAATGGTTCTAAGATAAGGCACTGTGTGTGTGTGTGTGTGTGTGTGTG